GGGGTCGGGCTGGGGGGTGCGGTGCAGCCCCGGGACTGAGCCCCTCTCTCCCCCCCCACCCCCAGATGGAGCTGCAGGAGCAGGAGCCCGGGCAGGACCCGACGCCCCGCATCCGCTGCAGCGATGGCTGCGACCCCGGAGCGCTGAGCACCGACAGCTCGGTACGGGGGGAGACCGGCAAGGGGCCAGGGCTGGGGACCCCTGGGTCCAGGCATTGGAGAGAGGCCAGGTGGGGGGGGAAGCAGAGGGACTGGGGATTCCCTGGCTAGGCTCTGCAGTGAAGGGGCAGTGGGGGGACACTTGAAGCAGAAAGCCCATTGGGGTGGGGGTCCCTGGGACCAGGTACTGGGGGAAGGATAGTTCGGGAGGGCACTTGAAGGCTGAGGCGGGCAGGGACTCTGGGGGGCCCTGGGACTAGGCATTGGGGTGGCAGGCATCCCCTCGCCCTAGGTGCTGTGGGGCACCAATGGGCCCTGTGCAGGGGGCATAGTGACTGTGGGGCACCAGCAGGAGGTGCCCGTGAGCCCCCTGCATTGCTGGGGGGGAGGGGGTTCCCAGCCTGACCCCGCTTTCTCCCCCAGCACTGCCTGGGCCGGATCTGGCAGGGGCTGCAGCACTACAGGGCCCTGCTGGGCTCCGAGCTCTTCGCTGGCCGCTCCCGTGCCCCTGACCTGGAGGATGCCCTGGCACAGCTCAGCCACCTGCTGCAGGTAAGCACGGGCTGGGGAGACAGATGGGGACATCCCCATGGCAAGGGACAGAGCGGACAGGCTGGGGAGCCTCCCCACCACGCCCAGCACAGCTGCCCTAGGCTGGGGGGCACCTTAGGCTGGGGGGCACTAGGGGGTAGGGAACTGGGGGGAGGCAGTTGCCAGCCCATTACTGTGGCCTCAGGTGCAGCAGCCACTGGGGGAAGAGTTGCCAGCTCATCACCATAGCACAAGGCCAGGTGGGCACGCTGGGATCCCTGGAGAGGCACAGGGCAGTGGGGGTGTGCCTGCCAGCCCATCACTGCAGCCTCAGACTCAGCAGGCACTGGGGAAGTAGTTGGGACCATGGCATTGGGCCAGGTGGGCACTGGGGGGAATCCTGGGGAGACCACAGGAGGGGAAGTTGCCAGCCCATCCCTGTGGCCTCAAGCCCAGTGGGCACTGGAGGACCCACAGGGGTAGGGCACGAGCAGGGAGTCAGCCCCGTTCCCAGGAGCTCAGGCCCGATGCTGACCAGAGCCCACCGGGGCTTTGCCTTGCAGCGCCCGGGTGAAGGGGATGCGGAGCTGTGGAGACCAACACTGGAGCCGAGCCTGATCTGGGCGCGCGGCATCATACAGCACCGCACCCTGCGCCAGCTCCAGGCCTTCTCGGCCGTGATTGCCCGCGTCTTCGCCCATGGTGCCACACTGCGCTAGACTGCCTGGGGCCTCCCCAGAGGGGGCAGCTGCTGCAGCTGGAACAGGGGGCAGACCCCCTCACATTCCCCACCTGTCCCCATCCTGGGGCATGACGAGTTTCTTAAATATGTATTGGGGGGGCTTGTTCTAGAGCCCCCCATGCTCTATTTATTGGTTATTTATGGGCTATTTATGAGTTTGTCTATTTATGCCCCCTCCAGGGGCTATTTATGGGTTTAAAGGGCCCCAGTGCCCACAATAAAGAAGTTGATTGGTAGAGAATGATCTGCACTTTTTTTTTTTGGGGGGGGGGGGGGGGGGGCGCTCAGTGGTGCCCTCTGGTGGTCACACCTCAGGGCAGCAGGCCCTAGGTCTGCCCCATGCTGGGGGCTCTCTGTGAGGGTCTCAATGCCCCCAAGTACCACAGGTGGCTGTGAAGGGTCAGGTTTATTCACCAAACTTCCCCAGCATCACAGGGGAGGTAAGAGAAGACCCCCTAGCCCCAGGGCTGAGCCCCCTACCCTGCCCACGAGAGGCCTAGCAGGGCTCTACTAGGACAGCAGCAGTACCGGGGCCATGCCAGGTAGATGGGTTGGGGGGAAGAGGGGCAATAGGAGCAAGGGGTCTTTTCCACCCAGACTCCTGGGTTCTATTTAGTGACATCCTAACTGGGTAAGGCACAGGGCTCCCTGCAGGTTGGGGCGGGGGGGAGGGGGAGAGCCCCCCCCCCAGACAAGGGGCATGGATGAATGTGGGGGGGCTCCTGGCAAGGACAGGACGGGCCTGGGGGCCCCCCAATAACTGCCATCACTGGAAGTCCCTGGAGTCAACCTGCAGAAGGGGCATGTCCCCAGCCTCGGCAAACTGGGACTCTGGGCTGCCTGGCTCCAGCAGGACCCCGTCGTCCGGGATCGGCATGTAGGGGTCGGTCCCTCGCTGCAGCACGTCGGGCAGGATGCCTGAGGGAGACAGTGGGTCAGGGGGCTGCCAGGCTGGGGAGGGCACTAGCACCCCATCTCCCCCCAGGACCCTGCGGCAGACTCACCTGCCAGCGCCAGGCTTTCCTCCAGCTGCTCCATGGCCCCGGGCTCTAGGCTCAGCCCCTCAATGAGCTCCAGGTCCTCTGGCCCCAGTACCAGATCTGCCCCATCCCTGGGCTCCAGCTTCACCACAGGGTCTGGGACTGGGGCTGCAGCCGCCCCCTCCTCGGTCTGGCCAGGGGAGTCATCCACCTGCCTGAGACCAAAACAGCCCTGGTCAGTGCAAGGAGCTGGGGGTGGATGGCTGGGCCACCCACACCAAGACAGGGCTGGAGCCCCCCTGCCCCCAACCCCAATGGGTGCCCTCATGCTGCATCCAGTGGGGCAGGACAGGGCACCTGGGGGACCCTGGCATCTAGCTCCCTCACCTAGAGGAGACTGGGATGAGCCGGCGGTTCAGATACTTCCTCTGGGCCAGCAGATCCACTGCAGGGAAAGGCAGAGAAGAGAGGGTCAGGGATGGGGAGGGCCTGGGGGTTGGGAGTGAGGGGCACTGGCAGCTGGCAGGAAAGGCAGTGCAGGTCAGGAGTGAGGGGCCCCAGTAGGCAGGGGGTTGTGGGTTAGGAGTGAGGAGTCCCAACAGGGGCTGTAGGTTGGGAATGAGTGGCGGTGTCCAAAGGGGGCTCTGGGTTAGGAGCGAGGGGCCACGGCAGACTGGGGTGGGGGGGACACAACACCTGCACATCAGGGAGCAGGGAAAGCTGCGGCGGGGAGCAAGGGGCACCAGTGTCCCAGGTGGCCTGCGGGTCAGGGATGAGGGGCACCTTTGCGGCTGTCGCTGTAGTAGGGCCCAAAGGCCTCGTCTCGGGGCTGCATGGGGTACAGCAGTTTGAGCGGGCTCTCGGGCACGTTCTTGTGTGCCAGCATGTGGTAGTCACGAATGATGTCGGCCAGCGGCAGTGACTCCAGCTCCAGCTTGGTGTAGGGCTCCACGGAGCAGAACTCGGGGCGGTCTGCAGGAGGCGGGGGTTAATGCCTGCCGTGGCAGCGGCGAGAGAGGAGAACCCAGGTGTGGGGGGGGCCCAGAGCCCACCCCACCCCCAACCTGGAGAACAGAGCCATTCACAGGTTGGTGCCCCCCTGAGGTGGGGGCCCAACCCCTGGGTCCTACTTCCAGGTGCTCAAGGGGGCTGGGGGGAGGGGG